GTGAAGAGTGTAAGCGCAGAGAAACTACCTCTCTCTCTCTCCTCTCTCTCTCTCTGTCTCTCTTCTCTCTCTCCTCTTGTCTCTCTGTCCTCTCTTCTCTTTCTCCTCCTTCTTTCCTCTCCTCTCTCTCTTTCCTTCTCTCTCCCTCTCTCTCTGTCTCTCTCTCTCTCTTCTCTCTCTTTCTCTCTCTCTCTCTCTCTGTCTTCTCTCTCTCTCTCTCTCTCTCTCTCTCTCCTGCTCTCCTCTCTCTCTCTCTCTCTCTGTCTCTCTCTCTCTCTGTATATATAATCAGAAATGTGTGTTTGTGTGTTTTTGCTGCAGAGCTGCAGACGAGACACGAACAAGAGAAAACTCAGCTGACAGAAACATTTCAGGCTGCTGAAAACGTCCTGAAGGTAAAAGAACGAGCAGATGTGGTTGTTGAGTTGAAGAACTATCAGCTGCCATCAGAGCAGACATTAACCTTTAACCTTTAACCTTTATCTTTCCAGGGTGAGGTGGAGGAACTGACTGCAGAGCTGCAGGTTTATAACGAGCTGAAGCGGAGAGTCAAAGAATCCACGTTTAAGAAGGACCTGCAGAGGAACATCCAGGTGTGTACGCCAGCTTCAGACCGTCGGAGTGTGTTTGCTCTTCAGTAAAGACTTCATTAAGATCTCTGTGCCCTCCAGGCCCATGGCAGCCCAGGTGCATTCTGGGAGTCCGAGCAGGAGTCTCTGCTGTTCGTCATTGAGATGAAGAGTGAGCGCGTGCAGGAGCAGAGCAGGAAGCTGCAGCAGATGGACGCTCTGGTTGGTCCACTGTTTATCCATATATTCATCCTCTTCCTCTCCTCCTCCTCCTCTTCCTCGTGTTGTTGTTCATTCTGTTGTCCACTTCCTGTTTCTGTCGCGATCCTCAGACGGAGAAGAACCTGGCGCTGGAGGATCAGATGGTCCACGTCCTGCAGCAGAACGAGGATCTGAGGGTCCGGATAGACAACTGCCAGACTCTGATTCAGTGAGTGCTTCAGGAAGGTGGCGCCACCTGCTGGACAGTTTATACCTCCACAAACACATCATCTGCTGTAATCTATTTTAAAATGAAAAATGTATCATGTGCACGCAACTAAAACTAATGCAGTCTGTAGTCCTGCAGTAAATCCTCCTTCAGGACGTTCTGATGTAGGATCATAAACTCCAAAGTGATCAAAAAACACAACTAAAAGTTACAGAGAAAGTCAAAGTGTTGAAAATAGGCATAAAACCACCGCCTCCCTCCACCCGACTGACACTGAACACACAGTGGGAACTACAGGGGAGCTCCTCTTAATAACACTGACAACACTAATACTAAAATACTGACTATGATATTTTTACCTTGAATTTCCATTTCTCTGTATCTTTATCATCATGGATTATGTGTAAAATGAGGATGTAATTGATGCATGTGTGTCAACAACTAACATTTTAATACCTTCAATAATACATATTCAGGACAAGTCGTGCTGAAGAGATCGCAGGTTTTATTTAAATTTGCATCATAAAAACCATCTTGGTGGTTCTGGTGTTATTATCCTGGTCTCTTCTGAAAGGGACTATTTCTGTAGTTCAACCACCAATGACGATAACACACTTTACTTTTACATGTATTATTCTGTTTTACATGTAGTCATGTTACCAACTCTTGTAGTTTGTTGTTTAAATTCGTATTTTTTAGGTTTGTCACACCTGTGAAGATGATCGATTATGACAAAAATGTAAAACCATCCCCAGAAGACCTCTGTAGTCCCACCCAGGTGAGTTTAAAGTGTCCCTGTGACCCCTGACGATAATCTGCTCTGTGTTTCCAGGCAGTTATCGAAGGAGCAGCAGGACCTGAAGGTGGCGCTGGAGAGGCAGGCAGTCATCAACCAGAAGCTTTCTCAGGAAAAAGAGCAGCTGATGTTCAAACTGCGACACAGAGACTCGTGTCCGACCATCCACCTGGCCGCCATGGTGCAGGAGATCTCGCCCAGATGACTCTGAACGCGTGGTCACTCGATGTAGATAGAAACCAGACTGTGTGCGCTCAGTAACCTGCTGGAGAGCAGCACTGCAGCGACTCTGCTGCGTGGACTTTAAACTGGATCCTGTGTGTACATACTGTATCAGACTCTCCCAGGTAAAGGTCCGGCCACAATGATCGGTTGTGGTTGTCAGTTTAAGTTTTATTTTTAATTCTTTTACAGATTATTGTTCGTTACGACGGTTAAATGGTCTGGAAAAGCCATAAAAAGTTTTTTTAAAGGAATTATGAGATGGTAAAACGCTATCTAGCCGGTAACATAGAAACAAAACTGAATACTTACTGTTTCCTGAACTTACTCTTGTAATCATGGTAATGCTAACATGCTCCAAAATGAGCCAGCTACAACAGTCTCCCAGGTTAGCTTGCTTAGCAGACTGTTGTAAAGTGTTGGGGTTGTCAGTTTATATTCTGTTTTTAATTCTTTTCATCATTCAGTCAGTTTACTGACAGATTATTGTTCGTTATGACGGTTAAATGTTTTGAAAATGCTGCAACTGAGACCAGTTTAGCCTTAAAGGTTTTATGTTACAGAGACTGACGGAGCGGCAGCATCCGATGTGTTCGCTCACAACTGAAAGTCGCACTGTCATTTGCCCATTCTTGCAAAATAGCTAGTTTCTAGCCAGAAACATAAAAACACGACTGAATATTTTCTGTTTCTTCAATTTCAGCCAGCTACAACAGTCTGCCAAGCTAGCTAGCGTGCTAACTGCCACTTACCTATTTAGCTTGGATGAAGAAGTTAGCGTAGTTTATTCGAGATGTATTTGTACCATCGACTGGCCGACTGCGGACTGTGTTGCATCTTTTGCAGGGTTACATAAAATGTGATGATGCAACACAAATAATACTTTAGTTTATAGTTTCTTCCTTCTAACTTTCTGACTCTTTGTTCACTCGAATGTCTGATTGCAAATTCCCACGTCAGTTTGTTGACGTTTGCCAAAGTCAGGAACTCTGTATTCACTTCACCTTTATGCTGACTGTTTATATAAATGCTGGTGTGAGCCGACCTTAGTAACTACGACCTGCTGGTCTGCTGAAGTGCCTGAGACTCATAATAACTGATGATGTCGACGTAAAGATCTTCTGCTTCCCAAACTAACATCCATCAAACCCTGAGGATTCGAACTAGCAGCTACCAGTCGTCACTCCACACCGACTCCTCGATCTGTTTCTGTGTCGACGCCTTGGAGAATAATGGACTCAGAGTTTAAAAAGCTCTGAAACCGGATGCTTGAGGCCCGATTGTACCACAGTCCAGCTCCACCACGGGTTTTGAGAGTAAGTGCCTTGTTCGGTGGCACACATTGTGTTGGTAGTTCAGGTCCGTGTTATACAGCCTTCAAGTTTCAAGAAGCACTTAAGCTGATTAAGAAATTATCTGTATCCGTATCTGGACTCTGTGGGATTAAAAAAAGTTGGTAATTTAAACCTGAAATTGATACGAGTTGATCAGAAGTTACTTTATTAGAAAACTATTTTTACTTTTGGAACTGAGCTTCAGAGCGATGTTTTTCTAGTTTATTTGCAAGTATATTGACGCATTTTACTTTTGTAAAAAGTTCATTATCTGTTCCGGATACTCGTGTCGGCTCAACCTTACTCCGAAAGTTAGCTATTGTTAGCAAGGTTACGCTACCTGGCTAGCTAGCAAGCAGTTGGTCAACTAAAATTATTCACAAATTTTTCACATCAATGTTTCATCGCAACATTGTTCATAACTTAAATGTCACGTTCGAGGTGAATAACACTGACCAACACTAATGGCCACAAGGCGCCCACCGTCCTGTCGTAAGCAGGTTTTGGATCTAGACCAGCAAAGTGTGTTCTGGTTCGAGATTAGACTTTTAAACCAGACTATAGTGATACATCAACCTCTCAGGTTTCAGATTGTAAACTTGAACCTTTTAAAGGTTAGTCTTGAACTTGGACTTCGTGCTAGAGAGTTAAAGCTACGTCAACCCTGCAGACGAACACTGAAACTGAAGTCGGACTGTACCGCTCCCTCAGTAAATCTAAACCTGACCAACCTGATGCCAAATCAGTTTGTGTTCACTGCTTCTGGTATCTGCTCATTTCTGTTTGCGTGCCTCACAAACGCTTCTTAATTTTTCTTACAGTTGGCTGACAGTTTTTTAAAGTAGAGCTCTGTTAAGTGCTGCTGTTGGGGGACGACACTACTTCTCTTAGTGTCTGATTCAGTGTTCAGGAGCTGACTAACAAAACACATTGAGCCCTTTTTATTTTCGGGTTTTGGAAATGTTTTTTATGAGCCTCAGAATCAAAACATTTTCTCAACACACAATGGACTGTTTTTAGTTTCATTCAATAAAAATGTACAACTAGAAAAAGAAATCTTGTTTGTGTGTTTTTAGCATGCTAGCATCTTGGAGTGAAACCTCGTGACAACCTGTACATTTGTACATTTGTTCATTTGTTCCAAACTTTACCACAGGAGATTAATCCTCACAGTTTCAGTGTCTCCTGATTTTCATCACTACAAAAACTTTAGCACATACCTCTAGAACAAATGGCAGAATCCCTGTGAGATGAATGCTAACAGTAAAAATCTAACTTTCTAAAATACTGTTAACAGTTTAGAAGCATGTTAACATGGCGATAAATACTGCTGTCATCCATTAGTTTAAAAATGCTATGAAACTGTCTGAAAAAGCATTTTATTCTCCAGCGAGGGTTGAATCGTATGATGTGACTCAGCTAACGTGATGAAACCGATAGCAACTGAATACACAGCCTCATTATGGTCTGCGGGTTTACTGTCCGAGGTTTCCATTGTCTCATGTTCATACATCCAGAGCTACAGAACAATAATCACTGTGTACGTCTTGTCTTTTAAAAGCTTGATAACTGTCAGTTTGGGATTTATTGTGTTAAAGATGTGAAAAATATTTTTCTTTTTGTTAATGGGACGATTGATTTATTGGATATAATCTTTTGTATTGCCAAAACCAACATGTGTCAGTGTTTGTCTCCTTATGCACCAGCACTTTGACGTAATGTACCAGAGTTTGTATCAGAGACATTGTTCCATGTTGTATAGTTTTAATTTTCTCTTTTTCTTCTGATGTATTAAAACTTATTTCATCTTTTTCTTGGTTTGATTTATGTCCAGCGGTTTGTTTTTTTGCTGTTTTGTTTTTGGCTTGACTAAATAAAAATCTGCATCTAAAACTGATGATTATGAGTATAATGTGTGTATTAAATAATATAATAACCAATAACAGTAATTAATATAAAGTATAATGCCTCTTAGCCTTCATAATACAGCGTGTAAAGGTACAGATTAACATTTTAGTCTATATTTATTAATTAAATTAATGAATATATCTGAAATAAAGCCTGAAATAAATAAATAAGGCAATAATAATTATTGATGGATTTTACAAGATACGCACACATTAAGACATAGGGAACATTTAATTATAGATTTGTTTCCTGATTTGTTTATTTTTGGATGTTTTTCATGGCTGCATTTATTTATTTCAAACGCATGTTTATTTAATATTGATTTAAATGGCGTTCCATATAAAGGAAGCAATTTCTGTTTTATTTATTATTAATATATATTTATTTTTAAATTAATCTTGTTTGTGTGTTTTTAGCATGCTAGCATCTTAGCTCAGTGTCAGTTGGTCCACAGTGAAACATATAAATATATTGGTACCGAGGAAGACGAGGAAAAACTCCCTGTGGTCTTTAGACCGAGCTAAGGATCATGGGAAGAGACCTAAGAGGAAAGGATGTTCAGAGAGAGATCCCCTCTGTGTGGACGGCTTTATGTTCCTGATCGTGGAGCCGAAGAGTTTGTGCCACTTCTTGACCTTCTTCTACTTCCTGTTGGAGGTTTGTGTCTGGAGGTCTTCCAGCTGGGACTTCAGGGAGCTCTCCGCAGTCTCCCACTGCTGCTCCTTCTCCTGCAGACACTGCTGGAGCTCCTCTGTGGCCTGAAGGAGGGACAACTTCTCCTGCCATTGGAGGTGGTTGCTCTCCAGCTGATATTCAGCCATCCTCAGGTCAGTCAGCAGAGCTTCGTACCTGCAGCCGGCTTCATGCAGCTCTTCCAGGAGCGAAGCCTTGACCCGGTCCCACTTGTGATGGTCGGCCATCAGCTGCTCCTCAACCTCCCTCAGAGCACACATGAGTTTAAAATTCTCATATTTCTGCTCCTCCAGTTGGGCCCCACAGGAGTCTCTGGCTTCCTGGAAGGAGGTTTGCTCCTGGTGCCGGTGGCGGTGCTCAGCCTCCAGCAAACCTTTGGCCTTTTTCACGGCAGTGGTGATCTTGCTGTTCTCCGCTCGGTGCGCCTCCAGCTGGACTTTATGGGAAGCCCGGTGTCCTTTCAGGGTCTTCTCAGCCTCCTCTTTCTGATTCAGAAGAGTGTCCTCTGCTTTGCTCAGCTTCCACTGCAGCCTCCGAGCTTCAGTCCTCTCGAGGGCGAGATGTTTCTCCAGCTCTTCCACCTTTGAGCAAGCCTCAAACGCTGCAATGTCTCTGTCCAAGAACTGCACCTTGAGGTACTCGCTGGTCGTCTCGAGGTTCCTTTCAGCCGCCGCACGCAGCAGCTTTTCCGCCCGGAAATGCACCTTCACTTCCTCCAGATCCTTCTGAAGAGCCTCGTTCTCCTTCCTCGTCTCCTCCAGTCGGATCTGAAGGTCTGTGATGTTGGAAGTCGGCTGCTTGAGATCTTTTGGATCTCTCACGCTGATGTTTCTTAGCTGCGACTTCAGCTCCTCGAAATGAGCCTGAGGAGAGCGGGAGAGTTTGGCCTCTTCCAGCTGGACGTTCAGGCTGTGTATCTCCATCTGCAGCCGCTCGGTCTCCTGCCGCCACTTGTCCTCCTTCCTCTGTCTCTGGAGCTCTTGGAGGAAGTTAACCAGCAGCTCCTCTTGGATTTCCAACTGGAGTCTCCCCGCTGACGCACTGGCGGTGAGGGTGGCCTCACCATCCTTCAGCTCACGCCGTACCTGTTCTTCCACGTGAGTGAGGAGGCGATTAAATAAAGGTTCATCCTCTCTGCTGTCGGTCTCCATGTCTTCAGCTCAGTGTTCGTCCTGTTGGGTTTCACTGTTCGTGTGTCCAGTGAAATCTGTCTGAAACAAACTGACCATCCAACACAATCTGCGACGCCATTATGACGCCATTATGATGTCACAGATTCTGTTCCTTTCATCCATCATGCTTTCATCTTGTTGCCATGGATACCAGGTTGTTTACGTTTGAATATATGAACGCAGGGATTTCTAAAATGAGTGAATGTTATAAAGACAAACATAATATAAATACACAGTAAACTGAGGAAGCTTTATAATAAACTCTCTAAATGTCTGTTTGTTTACAATCAAACAGAAACCACGTGGAGATTTAATCGAGAACCAAAAGTGGTTCATTAAAAGGAAAAATTTAAGAGATTTACAGAAAAACGGCAGAAAAAACATCTCGCAAGTTCTTCTGTGGACGGGCAGCAGTCAGTCTATATCATATATCCATCGGTGAACTCGTTAAAGCCGCCAGACTCCATTGACAAAAACAATAATTGTACCTCAGAGAACATAAAGGTTTCTGTTATTAACATTAGCTCAGATTCAAATTAACACATTATTGCCAAAACGTGTCAGTGTTTGTCACCTTATGCACCAGCACTTTGACGTAATGTACCAGAGTTTGTATCAGAGACATTGTTCCATGTTGTATAGTTTAAATTTTCTCTTTTTCTTCTGATGTATTAAAACTTATTTCATCTTTTTCTTGGTTTGATTTATGTCCAGAGGTTTTGTTTTTGGCTTGACTAAATAAAAATCTGCATCTAAAACTGATGATTATGAGTATAATGTGTGTATTAAACAATATAATAACCAATAACAGTAATTAATATAAAGTATAATGCCTGTTAGCTTTCATAATACGCGTGTAAAGGTACAGATTAACATTTTAGTCTATATTTATTAATTAAATACATACATAAATAAATGAATATGTCTATGAAATAAAGACTGAAACTAATAAATAAGGCAATAAATATGTAAATAAATGTAGAAATTAATCCATATAATTCAATAAATGCAATTTTATTTTAAAAAGGATGTTTCTCTATATTTCTAATGAAGGGGTTGTGGTATCTCACAGATTCAGAGCATCCTCTGATTTTCATCTACCAGCTGGTTTTATCATCCAAAACATCAATCAGCACATTCCTCTACAGTGGAAGCAGGTTACACGCTAACAGAGACATTGTAATAGAGTACTTTTACAGTTTGGTATTAATACTTTTTCTCCCGGTGGTGTAATGCACCTGTGTGGCCACTGGGGGGCAGCAGAGGACAGTTTGTGTATGTGGTTGCTGCTGGGATTGAACCTGTGAACTTTATATCACAGAAACAACTGGTCAGATTTCCCTCCAGTGTGACCTTTGACCCCTGCTGTTGTGTGTGGCTCTGACAGACGTCCTCATTATTATAACACAACAGAGACCGAAGCCTTAAAACCAGTGATTTACCTGCAGGGGGCGCCGCAGCCGCTAACTGGAGCAACTTTATTGATCCGCTGAGTTTCCTTTATTGATTGATGAGCAAATACCTGCAGAGTAATGACTCATTATACAGTAAACAGATTATAAGACTGAATTACAAAGTTAATTAATTATAAGCATGAAACTAATAACAATGAGAAAACAAGAAAATATTAATATTAATAATCTTTTTTCAGGATTCTGTTCTATTTAAAGAGAGGCTTATAATACAGGAGCACATATAATATATATATATAAACACAATAAAATGAGTAAGTGCATTTTTTACATACATGTAAATATTAATCAAATTTTAAAAGTAGCCTGTGAATTTACATGTCTAAATCTAAATTTGCAAATTTACAATTTTTTTTACTGTTTTTAAACTGTTAAATTCTAGTTTAATACTGTTAATACCTTTAAAAATTATGTCAATTTTGTCAACTAACAATAAAGTATTAGTTGTGTAATTTTAATGGTTAGTTGTATTGTAACTGACACATATCTCTGTATTAAATTGATGGGAAAGTGTGAATGAAATGTTGTTCAGTGGGAAAAATAAGGCATGGTAAACTGTCCAAAATACAGTTACAGGTAACAGACAATATTACTGCATTCACAGCATAAGACTTAATTACAGTTATATAATTTAACATTCACATTAAAATAATAACAATCCGAATGGAAAAAGCACTCTGCTGGTAAATTGTCTGATTATTGTAATTTACTAGGCCAGAGCTATCACCTGGATTTACACGATCATCTGTTCTTTAAGTGTATAATACTCTTAACTAAACATTAAAGAGATTAAAACCTTACAGATTTTATTAAAAATTAAAAGATAAAAACTGTATTTTAATGATATAGAATTTTCAATGTATTGGTGCAGGTCCAGCAATCAGAAACACAACTTTATTAACAATATTTATCCTAACTGCCTAAATTGGCCCTGTCTGTCTGTAAATCAGCCAGTGGTTGTTGGAGACAGTTATAAAAAAAGAATCTGTTCTCTGGGAGGAGTGTGTTCAGGAATCAAACCATCGTACGATGTAGTTATGTTACTGGGCACTGGGACTCCTGGACTGGGTCCGCAGACCAACCAGACTGCTTGCACTGTGAGTTTCTGACCCCTTTCTATCAGAACCAGCATTAACTGTTTCAGCAGTTTGAGCTACAGTAGCTCGTCTGTTGGATCGGACCACACGGGCCAGCCTTCACTCCCCACCTGCATCAATGAGCCTCAGCCCCCCATGACCCTGTCTCTGGTTCTTTTCCTTCCTTGGACCACTTTTGATAGGTACTGACCTCTGCAGACCGGGAACACCCCACAAGAGCTGCAGGTTTGGACATGCTCTGACCCAGTCGTCCATCACAATGTGCACCTCAGGTCAAAGTGGCTCAGATCCTCACGCTGCCCATTTTTCCTGATTTTAACACATCAACTCTGAGGACCAAATGTTCACTCTCTGCCTAATATACCCCCCCCCCTGACAGGAGCCCTGATAACCAGATAATCAGTGTTACTGGCAGTGCTCACTGTGTTAGGGCTGATTGGTAAATATATATATATATATATATAATAAA